TTCTCAAATTTGAAAATATATTCAAAAATCAGTTTAATACTTCAAAAAAAAATGTACACAATTTTTATTTCGTGTAGTGTAGTGTATAATATTGAAATAATGTCTTTATATCTAACAAGTCCCAATACTCAATTTTTTTTACGAAATATTACGAATTTTTGGCTTCGTTGGTGGTTTTTTCTTTAAATGCCACTGATCGTGTCATATTTTTTATTATTTTTTTCTTTTTTTTTTTAAGTAAAAAACAGTTTAATATTTAAAAAAATCTCAGGATATTATACACATTTTTTAAAAAGCTTCCCATTTAAATTCTATTGCACGAAAAAGAAAGAAAGGTAGGAGGAAAGAAAAAATGAAAAAAAATTTCAAATTAATATTTCAGTATGGTTTCAAATGTTAATGAGGAAGGATGTATGATTTTTTATGCACATTTTGTATTTCCCAATAAGGTAAGTTGACTAGTGTCGGCTAACAAAAATGTTATTAAAAGTAATATAGGTTGACACATTTCAACAATTTGAATTATCTTATTTCGGTTATTTATACGTTACTTATAAAATTGTTTCAAATAATTTCAGTTAGTTTTTAAGTTATTAAAAATAAATATGTATGTACCTACTTCCAATAATTTTTTTTTTAAATAATTATTTTAAAACTATTTTAAACATGTTATATTGAGTGCTTCAAAAATTTTGCTGTGCTCTTTTTTCATATTTTATTAGCAGGTAAACAAGAGCAATCTATTTATAAAATGTCCCTGAATATGTATGTATGACCTATCTTAATTCTAAACGGAAAGAATATTACATAAAGAACAAAAATTTTAAAATACCTAGTATTTTACAGTCGGAATTTTTGAGTCATTTTGGTAAAATACCATTTATTTCAAAAATGTAAAAATATTCAAATTCGGTCATAAAAATATATGATTGTTTTTTCCAAACATTTTAAATATTTTTTTTTCTTAGGTAATTGATATAAATGATAGTAAGTTTTTAATATTTTTTCAAATAAAAATAGAGGTAAAATTTTGAATTTTATATAAAATTTGTATTTAACAAATAATATTTGATTGTATTTTAGATATTATTTTCTAATTCCCTCTTCAAATTTTTTCTTTATTATGTATTAATGTATGATTTAACATGAGAACATCATATTATTTTCATACAAAAATTCACTCAATCTTGTTTTGAATTAATATTTAAAAGAAACTGTAAATTCTAAATTACTCTTTATAGAAATTAGTAACAATGTAAATTTTTCTTTCTTCTGCAGTAGAGTTTCTTAGAGTCAAGACGTGTTTTTTTTTATTCAATTTATTTGCTCGAGCAACTTACTTCTAATTAAAAAGAAATAATAATTAATAGCTATTAAATTTAAATTTTTATTAAGTAGTTCAAATTTAACTACAAAATCAATTAAATTAATTTAATTATAAGGTAACAAAAACTGAATCTCTAAAAAATTGAAATAAAATAAAATAATTTAAAGAAATAAAAATCGAGTTTAATAACTTATTTTATTCCACAATAAAATTTAATATTGAATCCTACATTTATATTAATATTTAAGAATTATCTTTCATTAATTATATTTTCAACTTGACACCACAGTTACTCCCCATATCTTGAGTTAAGTTACCCTATGAGAAAAAAAAGCTGTTCACTTAATAATAATGAAATGCTTTCAGTAACATATAAAACGTTGAAGGCGAAGGATGTGCTTGTTGTTTTTCCGCTTTTTTTATAATTTTAAAATAATTATCAATGAAAATATTAATATATTTTTTTGATTTTTCAAATATATTTTCTAAATTTTACCTGCTTTATAATAAGTGTGAATTTATTTTGATATTTCTTCTCAAAAAATAGCCACTTCGATTTAAAAAAACTCATATAAATTAAGGTCGTGCTTTCAAGTTTCTCTCTGAGCATTGGGACTTGTTAGATATAAAGACATTAATTGAAAGCTTAAAAAAATGAGCGTTTTTATTTAAATAATTTTTTAATGTTTTAACCGAAGTATATCTATTAATAAGTAGTTCGACTCATTCCATTCCGTTAGTTTTCGTTTGCACTTTGCTTCCAAATTCTTTAAATATTTCATTTTTATTTAGAAATAGATAGTAATATGAGTTGTGTACGCAAGAAAGAAACAAAATATTGTAAACAAACGAGTGTATAAAAACATTGAACTGAAATAAAATTAAATTAAGTTAGGTAAAAATTTTGTTATTTTTATTTTGATATTTTATTTATCATATTTTATTTTTCATTTCGTAAAAGGTAGGTAAAAACATTCAAATGTATGAAAGTTATAGTTATAAATTTAAAATTTCATACTCTATTATACGGTACATACCTATTCAAGGTAGATACACAATATGATGTAGTAATATGTATGTACAACGTTTATATAACTGCTTCAAGCTTATTATTGTCTGTATAAACATTACTTGACCTGAAGCCGGCTTCACTCAAGTCGCTTACTTGACTTGAAATGTTAATAATGATTTGAAATTTAATAGCTAAATGTCGTTTTTGAGCTTTTAAACTAACATAATAAAAACGCAGCCCGAGTTTCACTTCAAGCCGCAATGTAGACGCGGCGTAGAAATTAAGCAACTTATAACAAGTAAAAACGTTTCACTCGGTATAAACCGATTGAATTATACCCTGCACCTTCCGTTATTGTATAGCAATTACTCGAACCTGTGAAATCATTCTATAGAAACTTCACGGACACGTCTGACCTATAATTGTACATCCGATTGCCAAGTTTCATGAATCTGACTATAATTTTTCCAAATATTTAAAATTAGCTTTTGGAGTTGTATGGCACGTACCTGAACCTGTCAAGCAATTTCATCAAAACTTCACAAATATATCTGATCTATAATCGGACACACAACTGCCAAGTTTCACGAATCTGACTTTATTATTTTTCTAAATATTAAGAATAAGCTTTTAGACATATATGGAAGCTACTCGAACCTGCCAAGCAATTCCACCAAAACTTCAAATATATATCTGACCTATAACTCGACACACAACTGCCAAGTTTCATGAATCTGACTTTATTATTTTTCCACATATTTAAAATAAGCTTTTGGAGTTGTATGGCAAGTACCCGAACCTGTCAAGCAATTCCATCAAAACTTCAGAAATATATTTGACCTATAATTGGACACATGACTGCCAAGTTTCATGAATCTGACTTTATTATTTTTCCGAATATAAAAAATTTGCTGTTGGAGTTGTATGGCAGCCACCCGAACCGGTGCAGCTATCCCTTTACAATTTTTAGAGCATGTGTAGAATATAATTGGACACATGTACACAAAATTTTAAACTTATAGCTTTATTAGTTTTTGAAATATTTAAAATAAACTCTTTGAGTTGTAAGGCAGCTACCCGAACCCGTTGTCCGAATTAGTCCAATAACAATAGGGCTCGTCCTTGGCACAAAAGAAAAAACTTGTGAAAGTTTGGTGTCGATTGCATTATTCGTTTTTGAGTTATCGTGCGATCGGACGGACGGATGGACGGACAGACGGACATGTCTAAATCGACGCAGAATTTTACGCTGAGCAAGAATATATATACATATATGTCCATAGCGCAGATGACTCCTTCAAGTAGTTACAAACTCCATACCAAAGTTAATATACCCTTCACGAAGTGCAGGGTATAAAAAAATGCCTATTACAGATACGCGTGTATTTATGTATATCCATAAGAAATATTTGTTTTAAATTTTTAAAACAAAATTAAAATAAAAATAAAAAATTCATATTTTATATTAAAATAAATGTAATGACAATTACTAAATACAAATTTTAAGTTTTTTGTTAATATTATGTCTTTTTCAAATTATATACATATAATATGTAAATTATAATTTTTTTTTTATTTTAATAGTCAAATTTTTTTTAAGTCGTTTCGCTTTTATAATATGGATACACCATTTTTGCCACATTGTACTGGAATAAGTTACAAAAATAAAAAAATTGAAATTTTGAATATTTTTTCCTATATTTTATATACGAAAAAATAAATAACAAAATTTTAAGAATGTAAGCACTAGTAAAGTAGAAAAAGATGAAATTTTGCACAATATTAACACAACTTTAAATTGCACAACTTTTTAAAAAAGTTGATCTTGTGGGATATTTGTGATATTAAAAAGAGCTTTCTATAAGTTCCATTAGAATACATGTAAATTTATCAGCTGAGAACTTTCATTCTCTTTTATTTTCCTGACCTGTATTTCTTGCAGCCGTGGTTTTACTCGATAATTTTTTTCATAAAAGACTCGAAATAGAAATAGGCAAAAAATTAAAGAAAAGAGATTATTATAATTTTAACACGTACATTGAAAAATCAAGAAGGGTTCAGTCCTTGATATCAAATCATTAATATTTTTATTTCAACGACTAAGACCGTGACTCCAAGAATGTGCTTACGACATAAACTTTACAAAGTTAGATTCCAAAAAGTGTAGAAAGAGCTCTTGAGATAGTACACTTCCCCAAAATGCGTTCCATACGTAGTGGATACATAAAATAAAATTAAATTAGGTGTCGAAAAAATCGAGCACGCTTTTCTTATACATGTCATATAAATGCTGCCAGAAGTAACCAATTAAATAACCTAGCATATATTTTCAGTAGTAAAGTGCTAGTTATTAAGTTTTTTTCCTAAAATGCAGCATAAAAATGCTATGTTTTTAATGGTTTTCACGGTAATAATGGTAAACAAACGTCAAAGTATGTATTAATATTGTAAAAATTGTATTCCAAAATGTATCAAAAGCTTTAGCAGTATTTTTTTTGCAATGTAAAGGTATTGAAAGCTCTGAGACGGTAATAATACTGTACACAAACTTTTAATATAGCATTACTGAAGTCAAGAATTATCCGGATCTAATCATAATCTATCGAAATAGCTTAATTTTCGATTCCATAGGCACCCCCTCTATTTCTGATATTGAACTGATCTGAAATTGAAACTGATTGTGGAAATGTAGCAAGCATTGTGGAATATTTCATAAAAGTTGCTAAATAATAATTTTTTTTGTTTTGATAAAGTACAACGGTTTCAATCGGAGAATATTTATTATAAACCTATTAAAACCTTGTAATTATATTAAAGAATACTTAATATATTCGTCATGCAAAAATTTTTGTACTTGGCTTTTATTTTTGCATTTTGTAAGTTCCTACCATTGCTTCGAATATAAAAATTTATGATAAATTTGTTATATTGTTTAAAATTTAAATTTTTCGTTTAGTCACACAAAATTTTCATTTTGGCGCAAGTCGAGGAGCTTCGCAATCTAGATCGTCTTTTGTTGGAAAACGAAATAGTAACATGGGACACAATATTCCTACAACTTCATCGACCATATCAGGCCCCTTGACTTCAAAGGAATACTTGCAAGATAAAGGAACTTTTTCAGCATTCACTTTAATCTTAGTTATAATTTTAGTCACAGTTTTAGCACTGGTTGTTTATTATAGTGTGTTGTGCTACCCGTTTCTTTGTCGAACTGAAAAGAATTACCAATTTATGGATGTCTCTTCAACAATAACAAGCGCAACTTCCAGATCAATGCAGTCTATTGAAAATTTTCCGACCGGAAAATCTGAAAATTATTTAGTTAGCCAAAAATCTAATGAGATTTTTTCTTCACCACCGGTTGTTTCTGAAAAGCACATTAATCGAAATTTTATATCAGAAAATCAAAATGTACAAAACCTTTGAAATTTTGGTAAAAATCGTGTTTTGAAAAGTTTGGAGGTTAAAACATTGTCGTAATGATCTCAATGTTTTTATAAGCGTTTGTCTAGTATCTAGTAATATCTTAAGCCATATATTTCAAATTATCAGTATTGAATAGGAAACAGTAAAAATGGGTACATATACATATATATTTTTAACAATTAAAAATAGATTCCAAGTCTTCCAAATACATGTTGCAATACTTCAATTATTATTAACATTTCAAAACGTGCATTTTGTAAGATTTTCGAAAATTAAGTATAACAATAAATATATTAGATTTTAAATTTATTATTAGAGATTAAGCTAGCTTTTACAATCTCATTTTTCAGTTCCAAAAGTTAGGTTTCAAATCGGCAAAGCATTTTTAAGTGTTAAGGCAGCCATTGAAAATTTTTAAATTTTTCATGCTCATTATGAAGGAAAAGTTGTCTTAACTCTTATTTTAGTTTAAAGTTGATTATTAACTGAAATATTTATTTTTAAGTACAACAATTAACAGATGAATTCCCGAGAAAATTACAAAAACTAATAAAAAAAAAGTGCAGCTGATTCAGCAGCGCTAGCCTTTATAATGTAAAAATTTTTGTGATAGGTTAAGAATGTTTATGAACAAACTTGATTAGCGAAACTTGTTTATAAACACAAATATAGCACAGTTTTCGCTATATGAGACCTATTATTAGATACATGCAAAATATATTTTTAAGTATTCCTTATTTTATTAATCCAAAATTGTTCCTCGTAAACCGTAAATATCTTTACTACTTGTCTGAGAAAAATTAAAAACCTAGTGAAATAATTTAAAAATTGGGTAGGCATTTAAATACTATAAATATTTTTCTTTTATTTTTTTTTGAAATTAAACCAAAGATATTTCCAAACACTAATGATAAACATTTTGCAAAAATGTAACTCCAGTTACATACATACATATGTACATACATATATTATTCTTCCCAAACCCCACAGCTAAGTAGAATAAGGCTAAATATGAAGGATCATATGCAGGTATTAGATAATTAGTATTCTTGATCTACGAGGAACCAGTTACTTTGAATCCTAATACATATATACAATTTGCTTGCGTTGGAAGCGAGACACTAGGGTGATGTTAAAATTTGCTAAAACATAAAAAATTTGACCTTTTTAATTTGTTAGAAGCTACACTTGCTATATATCGAATATAATTTATATTGGCTTCATTTTTTTCTCATATATCCATCGAATGCGAATAATAATTAATCGTTACATCGAGGATTCCAAGTAACTGGTTCCTCGTAGATCAAGAATACTAATTATTTAATACCTACATAAGATCCTTCATATTCAGCCTTATTCCACTTACCCGTGGTGTTTGGGAAGAATAATATATGTATGTATATACTTATGTGTGTATGTAACTCCATTTTGCAGTGTTTATCATTAGTGTTTGGGAACATCTGGTTTAATTTCAAAAAAGAATAAAAGAAAAATGTTTTATAGTATTTAAATGCCTACCCAGTCTTTAAAATACTTCGCTTTGTTTTTAATTTTTCTCAGGCATGTAGTAAAGATATTTACGGTTTACGAGGAACAATTTTGTATTAATAAAATAAGGAATACTTAAAAATGTATTTTGCGTGTATGTATCTAATAATAGGTCTTTTCGTAAACGCAGTATATCGCGATATATAGCGAAAACTGTGCTATATTTGTGTTTATAAAAAGTTTCGCTAATCAAGTTTGTTCATAAACATTGTTAACCTATCACAAAAATTTTTACATTATAACGGCTAGCGCTGCAGAATCAGATGCACTTTTTCTTACTAGTTTTTGTAATTTTTTCGGGAATTCGTCTGTTAATTGTTGTACTTAAAAATAACGAAATTTGTTTTTGTTTCAGTTTTCTTTTTTTTTCTAAAATTGAATTTTCCACTGTTTGGCTCAAAATAATTTTTTTTTGTTATCGACATTTTTTGCTCATGAACATAATACTGGAAATTCCAAATAGCAAAAGTTTTTATATAACTGTTAAAAATATATTGCGTATGTATCACATTATTGTTTTGCTGTATTGTGTTTATGAAAATACCTAATACATCGATAGCTGACAAATAATAATTTTTGAAGCCAACATAATAATTGTTTTTTTTTTTGTTTTAAGTTTTTACAATATAAAAAATTTTGCCAGAAATGTTTGGAAATTATGGTTGGGAAATATGAATATAGAAATTTATTTGAATTATTTTTTCTATAAAAAATTTATAATTTTTCAACAATATACACACATATTTTTTAGACATACATTATTATTTCTTTAAAGTTAAAATAAATTATGTTTACTTAATATAAAATATTCATTATACATATATTAAATTATTGATAGGAAAACAAAATAAAATTTAATTTTTTCAAAAAATTTTTCTTCATAATATTCACAAAAAAATTACTTTTTCTCACTTTTACGAAAACGAACTCAAATTTGGCTCAAACTGTTTTTAGCTCGTTTTTTCCACGTTTAAATTAATATTAAACAATCAATATTTTGTAGAATTTGTTGAATTTTCTGGACTTACTTTACAGATATGTTTAGATTTTCTCATGTTTCACTATAAATAATATAATATTGTATAAAAACAAACACTTCTGTATTATTTTGATTTTTGGTTTAATTCGCCAAGCTTGTCAAAATTTTCATTCGCTTAAATATTTAGACGAATTCGCTAATCATATTTGTCAAAAATTTCATTCACTACACCGAGACAATAAGGGATAATTTCATTCAAAGCCCTCATAATAAGGGCCTTGAAATAGCCTACAACTTGCTTGCGTTGAAAGCGAGACACCTAGGGTGATGTTAAAATTTGCTAAAACATAAAAAATTTGACCTTTTTAATTTGATAAAAGCTACACTTGCGATATATCGAATATAATTTATATTGGCTTTATTTTTTCTCATATATCTATCCGATGCGAATACTAATTAATCGTTACATCGAGGATTCGAAGTAACTGGTTCCTCGTAGATCAAGAATACTAATTATTTAATACCTGCATATGATCCTTCATATTCAGCCGTATTCTACTAGACGCGATGCGCATATAAAAATGAATGTATGTATGTGGAAAATCTCACAATTTCACAAAAAGTATCCATAATGTTATAGACGCATTTTTCAAAATTGTCACGTTTGGTCGCGTATATTTTGGCGTCTACAGAGATATGAAAGTTCGTTTGGTCGCGTATATTTTGGCGTCTACAGAGATATGAAAGTTGCTGAATATAAAATTTAAAGCAAATGGAGAAGATATATCTGAGTATAATAACATATTTTAAAAGCAATAATGAGTAATTTTATTAATTCGTGTAAAAGCAACAGATCTGGAGCAATTTCAAATTTTAATCAAGTTAATGGATAATTCTTTTTCTTAATTTTCTTTTAATTTGATTACTTATTCTTTTAACTCCATTTTAAATCTGCTTTTATCAAAAACCAAAAAAAGTTCTAAAGCATCTTTCTTTCTCTAATTTACTATTTGTTATTTATACTATTTTCTGTCAGCAGTTTTTTTAAAAACAATTTTCTAATCTTTTAACATTAAAAAAAATCGAGTCTCGTTTCTTCCGTCACATCACATTTCACGCGTAGTACTATACCAAGAAAATGTAACGCGTCTAGTAGAATAAGCCTGATTGTACTTATGTATAAGTGGTGATAATTTATAATTTTTTTTATATTCAAATATCAATTATTAATGTATGTAAATGCAAGTGTAAAATAAAAATTTTGCTAGAATAACGTTAACGTAACGTTAACATTGTAATTCTGATTAAAAAAAAAACTTACTACTGGATTTTGATAAAGAACTTTATCTTTAAATCGATATTCTAATATTGACTTAATTCAAAAAACGTACCCTCCGAACCTGTAAAAAAACAACAAAAAATTAAAAAAGTCTCAAAAAGTGGTACACCTTTTTTTGACATAGCCAGAAAAATGTAGATTTGGCCCTTAGTAAAGTTTCGCTTTGTGCCAACCGAATTCCCTGAAAAACTTGCCAGTTAGTTCCGGTGACAACGAGAACTCCAATATTAAATTTCAAATAACATGTAAGTATGCAACTTGAATATTTTTATTTATTTAGATTTTTATTAAAATTAGGTACATGAAAAAGTAAATAGAAAAAAAGTTGTACATACAGTTTGTAAAAAAAATTAATTATCTCACTAAAACATATCTACAAACACAAAGTGTTATATGTAGAAAACGAAATAAAAATTTAAAAACAAAAAAATTCCAATGCAGTATTTCTAAAGTTCTTAATTGTATGCAGTATTTTTAAAGTTATTAATTGAATTAACATTATTGTCATATTTATTCATTAAAACTTAAAAAAGAAACCTTATTCAAATTTTCTTCATTTTTATCATCATGCAATACTTTTTTCTTCTTTTAAAAAGATTTTAAACCTTCGAAACTTTTTTAAAATTCTTAAATAAAAAGCAAGCAATATAGTTTAATGCATATACCAATATTTAAACAAAGCGAAGCATTTACCAGAAATAACATACATGTAAAGATAGTGTATGTAAGTACATATTTCGTGATTTCGGTAATGCGGTAAATTAAAGTTAAAGTAAATATAAGCAATAAAATGCTTATTTATTTATTTATTTATTTGCCTAACTCAAACAAATTTACATAATAAGAGAAAACAAAAAATTAATACACAATTTTGCAATTACTTAAACTATGCTTATACTAAAATCTATTTCAATACAGAAATAATAAAAAAAAACATTTATTTGTTATCTTTTTGTTTTTTCTTCTTTTTTTTCTTTTTTTTTCTTTCTTTGTTTTTATACAAGATAAACTAACACTGTAAAAGCTAGCAGACAAATAACTCTTCTCTACTATTTTGCTGCAAATTAATAAAATTTTTATATTTATTAACATTAATAAACATCCTATTTATTGGTTTGTATTTCCCTTAATTTGTTCGATGAAGAGCCATAATGAATATATTTTCTGACCTAAACCAAATACTAGCATTTAAGCTAGAATCAACTAATGTTTGTAGCATCAATAAAGTATTGAGGCTTAAAAGATTAAGTCGGTCTCCATAAGGCGGCAGATTTCATGGATCATGCCAATTTAGACCACGTAATACAAATTTAATAAAGTTCCTTTGAACCGAAATTTAATAAAGTTCCTTTCATTAAATTCTTTACCCCACCTTTTTACAAAAGCAAGCATTGAGTTAGCTTATTTATTATTGCATTCAAGTGAGTTCTGAAAGTCAATTTTGCATCAAAGACAACAAACAAATCTTTAAAAAAATCAGCTGTTTTTACAAGTTCATCATTAATACAGTAATCAACAATAAAACGAACCAATTTGCGCGTATAAGTAACAACCGCACATTTGCCAACATTAAGAAACAGATTGTTGTGGTTGCACCAGGTCAAAAAAGAAACCAAATCATCTTGAAATTTATTATTAAAATTTTTATATCATCAGCATAAATTAAAATTTCACTGTACCTAATGACAGAGGTAACATTACTAATTGCCATTATGAATACAAAGGCCCTAAGGGACTTGCGGAAGCCCTGAATTGGCAACATACGGACTTGAAATGCATGATCTAAAAGAACATAGTAACTGCGAGCCAGCAAATATGATTCAAACCAGTTTAGCAAATTTGGAGGAAACCCAAGTCTTGCCAACTTAAATAAGATCACACTATGCGGTAATAGATCAAAAGCTTTCGACAAGTCCCTGTGAATGACATCAGTTTGGTTAGAAGTCACATCTACTAAATTACATATGGTTGATCGTTTTTTTACAAAACCATGTTGATTCGACACCAAAAGGCCCGAACACTGATCATAAATGGAATGAAAAAGCATAAGTTCAAATAATTTAGGAATGGGCAACAACTTTGCAATTGGTCGATAATTGGTCACCTTGTTTTTGGGACCCCTTTGATGAAATGAAATAATAAATGCTTCCTTCCAAAACTCCGGAAAATAATCACAAGAACTTTCTTGTTTCCTCGATGTAACGATTGAGTAAGCAAAATTGAGAGCGGACCAGACAGATATAAAGAGCAGTTTTTTAGTATTGTTTTAGGAACGTTATCAGGCCCCGGAGAATAATCTGTCTCAAGCGCATCCAAATATTTTTTTACTCGAAAAATGGAAAAATCCATTGAAGAAATCGGCAGAATTGGAAAGGTATCAAGATGATTAAAAAAATTGTCAGAGTTAATATTAAAAATATTATTAGAATACGAGCTGGAAAAGAAAGCACGAAAGAATTGTGTAATAAAAGATGGAAATTGATCACACTTTCTTTTCGAATTAACAAAATTCTAAAAAAGACTTTGGATTATTTTTATTCGATGACCCATAATAATAAGATAAGGTCTCTTTTTTGTTTTTCAATTTTTTCAACTCCTGGGTTGAAAAAGAGTTAACGGATCTATCACTTCTAGTAGGAATAAATAAGGTAAATGCATGATTTAAAACGTTGTAAAAACTAGCTACCACTTCATTGATCCCCAAGTTAGCAAAAAGAGAAAAAAAGTTAACTGTGCGAAGATAATTATTTAATGCTATGAAATTGGTTTTAGAAAAGTCAAATTTAAAACAAACATCTAATATATTATCGCTTTTATAATTATAAAAGTATGAAGAACAAATTGGAGAATGATAAGTTCCAAGACCTTGCATTAAAAAAAAACTGCTAAAGTTTTTTGTTCCTTTTCTTTCTTATACACAGAAAAGAACATGTCTATTATTATTTTAGCGTTGAAATTTTCTTACGATAATAATGCCACTTATGAACGTCTCCTGATTTTCGTCCTAAAAATTCATTTTTAGTAATTTTTTCGTTCTAAAAAATCAAGTTTACTGGATCTTACATAGATTTACCAGATTAATGAAAAAATATTTGCTAGAATAATAGACCTATAAATTTAATGGAATCAATTTTAAACGTGTTGTTTTTTCTAATTTTAAAATTTTGTACTATTTAAAATACCTTCCGAAAGAGCTTTATTATGAAATTAATTTTTGGATAAGATGTCATGCTCCCCTAATTCATAATAAAACTTGTTGTTTATTAGTGCTCAAACAGCTCATACTTTATATATGAGGTAGTTAGTTTTATTAGTTATATATTCTCTATGAATAAACTCTGTATGGACACACGAGTCGTCATCTTCTATCATTACTTGAATTTTCATCCTTGACGTTTCATCCTTCTTTCACATATACTACATTTGTAGTTTTGTACTTTTTCTTGTACTGTCTTCTTTTTTGAATCCAAAATCTTTTGAGGTGAACGTTTGAAAAATTTGGCTTCATTGTTTTTCAAAGATGCTCTGCAAATTACAAGCAG